AATTTTCTTTGTCTTCTCCGGCGAAGAACAACCAACCCATCACCACCATAAGTCCACCTCCACAACGCCATTTGTTCTTCTTTTTTGACGAACCATCAGCCACCAAACAACCACCACAAAACAGCCACTCAAAATCCAAATCAATCACCAACAAACACCAAACCAAACCCCCTTACCTTATCCCTTTGCGATTTTATTCTTTTGATTTGTTTTAAAGGTGCGTCGGCAAGCTCAAAGCTTCAGCCATGGCTCCGATGAAGTTCCAAAGAGCTCCATACTTTCAGATCTGAAAAACCAACAAATAATCTGGACAACCAACAACACCACTACTACACTCACGTCATTGTGAATCTTTAAGGTTGTGATGAAAAATAAAAAGTTGTGATGAAAATTAAAGAATGAAGAAGAAGAGGGTAATGGGTGGGGATGGAAGATTTTGACTTTTTAATTCTTTTTCTAAAGGGTAATGGAAGGGGAAAAGAAGATTTTGATTTTTTAAATTCTTTTTTTAAATTTAATTTTTTCTGACGCGCCAGTTTTTTATTTATTTTTTATTTTTTTGACACGTCAGTTTTAGGGAGTAAAATAAATTCACTTTTAAGTAGTAAAGGTGTGTAATAGGTCGTCATAATAGTTGAAGTGTGTAACTGACTTTTCGGTATAAGTTGAAGGGGGAATTTATGCCTTTTCCCTAACACTGAACTAATTTTACTTTCAGAATTATGGGTTCATATCTAGTATTTGCTAAATTTTAGTGGGTTTTCACACACGTCTATACTCCATGTAAAAATTAATGGATTTGGATGAACTCAATACCTAAAGGCTGGCATGTGTCCCAGCAACCAGATTAGGTTCTGCAATTTGTATAAGGAAAAACATTTGATAACAATATGATTTTATATAGTCTGAAAGCAAATCCTCCTTTCTTTTCCATCCAAGTCTTTGAACTTACCAAACTGATTATTATATTGTTGCTCATATTTCCCAGTGTTAAACCTGGTTTACATTAATTAAAAGGCATGTGGAAGAGCAGTAGCTTAAGGGACTATGAGAAAAAGAAAGTGCATGCCAGAAGCATACGTACTCTTCTTTCTCTAAAACTGAAATAATAACAACAACAACAAACACAATGTAATCTCATAGGTGGGGTCTACAGAGGGTGGTGTGTAGGCAGCCTTAGGCTATCTTCGATAGACCTAGGCTCAAGTAAAACATATCGAACTCAAGTATGGAAAGAAAATACAATAATGAAGAAATCATGCCAAATGAAATCCACAATAACATAATAAATTTCTTGCAAATTATGCTTGTAGGTCTTAATAGAAAATCCCCAGTTCTTCTCCACTCCATTATTAGAACTTCCGTATATAAATAATTAAAAGAAGGCATTGACAAACAAAGTACCAACTACCAAGGGATAATATGAAATGGAGAAATATCACAGAATCTATACATAAGGGTGGTCACGGAATACTAGAAGGGTGTATCTAATATGATTGTATGGGATCTTTCAGTCTAGAGGCATTAACATATATATAACTTTTAGGGGTCGTTTGGTAGGCCGCATTAGAAGAAATAGTCCATGAATTATGTAAGGTATTATTTAGTACTATGTTTGGTAGGAATTTGGGACTATGTATAACTAATCCATGGATTAGTTATACCTCCTAAATGGTATTATAGGATGTATTATAAATACCTTCCATTTGGAGGTATTAGTAATACATAGGATATAATACCATGGGATAAGTCTATGTAAAGACAAAAATATCCCTCAAATCATTTTAATTATTTTGTTGATTTTATGATTTATATTTGTACTAGTAAATTTATTTAAATAAATTAGCTTACAAATTATTTAGAGTGAGTTGTTCGTTACTAAATAAATCTAATACAAATCAATACAAATTGAGATGTTTATTTGTAGACGTTTGTGATCTTAATTGAATGTATTATATATATATATATATATATGTATATATGTATATTTGTGTATTTGTGTGGTTTTCTAATTATTTGTATTTTGAACAATTTAAAAGATTACATACATATTAAAATTACAACTTGCAATTTTTATGTGTAAATGTAGATGGTTTATTCAACTTTACCATTGTTGACCGTCTTTTCGATTTTAAAAGTAGATGGTTTATCATTTTTAAATTGAAAAGTCTTTTCGATTTAAAAGTAGATGGTTTATCTTTTTTAAATTGAAAAATGACATTTTGTGAGTGATCAATTTATTAAGATGACAATTATTTATCCTCAAATGATTCAAGTGAAAAAATAGCAAACATGACAACAAAATTGTTCTTCTCATAACTAGTTAGAAGTCCATAAAAAAATAGTATTGTCCGACAACTATCTACCTTGACCCAATTACATAATAATTCAACAAGGGTATAATTGAGAAAAAGTTTTTTATAGAGTTTTAATCCTAACACTACTCCACTAATCCCTGCATTACTAATCCCTACGTTACTAATCCTTGCATTATTAATCTTTGTACCAAACGATCCCTATTACCATTGTTGACAGTCTTTTCGATTTAAAAGTAGATGGTTTATCTTTTTTAAATTGAAAAATGACATTTTGTGAGTGATCAATTTATTAAGATGACAATTATTTATCCTCAAATGATTCAAGTGAAAAAATAGCAAACATGACAACAAAATTGTTCTTCTCATAACTAGTTAGAAGTCCATAAAAAAATAGTATTGTCCGACAACTATCTACCTTGACCCAATTACATAATAATTCAAGGGTATAATTGGAAAGAAACTTTTTATAGAGTTTTAATCCAAACACAGATGAGGTGGGAAACAATGAACCAAACACTTGATAAAAATAAACCCTACATTACTAATCCTTGTGTTATTAATCTTTGTACCAAACGACCCCTTAGAGGGATCTACAGTCAGTCCTATTACTGGAATTTCACTTTATCTCTAATATATGGCAATTCTTCTAATGCTTATGGCACTAGCTGCTCTAGAAAAGACAGGTGTCACACTGTCACTAATTCATATTAGGTAGACTAACTGTATTTAAAACTTATAGTTCCTACTTCCTAGAGAAGCAAGACTCAATTCTCAAAAAACATTACAATGAAAATTGTTGAAAGCAACATAAGAGTTTTAAGAAGGGGTATAAGTTACGTATGATATGTATGGCATTTTGCACCAAATATTAAACAAAATGAAATATGTTTATTAATGTTTAATATGTCCTCAGACTAGAATTCTAATATTTCCGACAATTTAAAACTTTTCCATTGTCAATGATATTTTAGCAGTTGGAGAATCACCAGCATAACATCACCTGATAATACAATGTTTTAGAGAATTAATGGGCTCATTGTGGCGTTAGAAGAAGTTTGTCAACAACCACCACAATAAGTTGACTCTTAAAAGATTAGCTTACCAGACAAGGATAGTCTGATGCTGTAGTGCCTTCGATGCTACTTCAGCAAAGCACTGTGCTGCCTCTGCCTCTGCTTCAAACTCCTCTGCAATCCTTGCTGCCCGTTCTGCATCAGCAATGGCAACTTCAGCCTCTGCAACTGCTTGTGCAGCGGCTGCAGCAGCCTCCTCTGCACTCATGCTCTTCATTTGCTCTAAGTCCGCATCAATCTGTGCTTTAGTCAGTAATCTAGTTTCATTCTTTTCTACCATAGTGGAATCAAGCTTTCCGCCCATAAGCGAAGAGAAAGGGCCTCCCTTGCCATCAGATGATGCTCTACTCGGTGCAATCCTGTAGTGATGCTTTACCTATCAATGTGGATGGAGGTATCAAGATCCAGGTTATGGAACAGACAAGTATATCTATAATTGGGCCGTCCAGTGTCCACAAAATAGTTTTTTTTTTTAAATCTTCTGAAAGGAAAAATGGAAATTTGATCATTTACCCATATCACAGTGTTTGTCTGATCCTCTAAGAATGAATATAAAAGAAATGAACAATAGTAAAGTTAAATTCATGCATTAAATGGTGGCAGTTTCAAATCAACTGAAGAATTTTACTCCACAACCAACATCTATGCTTCCAAGCATTGAAATTTTTTAGCATTCTTTAACAAAATTCAAAACTCTAAACAAAGTAGCCACAAGACCACAGTATGAGCTTTCATTTTCTTGAATTCAAGAATACACATTATGATTCAGGAGAGGGTCCATAACTGAACGAGAATTGCATGGCAAACCAAAAAGAATGAATTCAGACATTTCATTCTCTTATTGCTTTATACCTTCCTCACTTAGGCATGATGTGATGCTACAAATGGAGCTTAGTGTCGATTAGAAGCCTTCCATTCTTGACAAGTTACAACATTGCTTCCTTAAGTAAAATTGATTCTTACCAATATTCTTCATGGTATCATCGACAGACACTGCCACTTTTTAGTTAGAGTTTTGTAGAGTGTGATGAAACTTACATCTTTGGGGCATGATAATCTGACATCCACCAACTCCTATTCAACATAGCAATAGAAAAGAACCAAATATTGACAAGAAAAAAAAAAACACAACAAGGACAATTCAATCTATGACACAGTTTATCTTAATTCTCTTCAGTAATCACTAAACATGATCTACTGATGTTAATGCTACATTAACGTGGAACAGGCATTGCATGTCTTAACATGCAGCAAATGCTTCCTCGTTGAACATAAAGAAGGGGTAGAGTGATTTCTGCATCATTTTATACCAGTTCCCACGTTGATTACCTTTATCAGTCTTCCTTTTTCAGTCAACACCTTCAAATTTGCTGCCAACAGTCTTTCAAAGTTTAGAGGTGCCACATACCGCTCCTTTAAACAAAACAAAAGAAATTGTTGAGTTATAGGCATCTAAAGTAATGAAAAGAATATGCCAGCATTTACAAGATCCATACACTAGTATCATCTAAGTTAAAAATAAGAGTGGAATAAATAAGGATAAAGCGAACTTTTTTTTGGATAAAATTAGTATAAACTGCACTTAAAACTAAAGAAACTTTGCCCTGTGAGCAACTTCAACCTTTACAAGCAAATCCCATCTTAACCTCTGAAAAAGAAGCATAAGCATCTCACTTACATTAGTCTATGTTGAAAACACAGAAGAGTCCCAGTGTACGATGAGAAATTTGACTAGAACACAACACATGGGGAAGAACAATTACCACTACCAATTCCCAGCGACCTTTGGCCATCCCAATGACCAAGTTGGGCCAGTTTCCAGTTGGCACATAATCTTTCCTTAAGTACATTTTACCAGTTTCCACCTTTTTCCTCTTCTGTTGATACTTCTTACATAGTTCCGGTTGCTCAGGTTTGTGCAATGAAGATCAAAAGGCATTGCCAACTAGTGAAAAGCCAAGTTACAGAAATTCCAGCATAACTATCAGCTACTAAGATACAAACAGCACAGGCATGTTTAGCTCACAGCAAGTCTTGGCTCCCGTGTGAAATCAGCAACTAAGATACAGACAGGACATGCATGCTTAACTTAAAGCAAATTGTTAACATATATTACAGGACTTGCTCAAACAAGGCAGAAAGGCAACTTATATTTATTCTTTTTGTTTTCTTGAAAAATCAAGGAACATTAAACTTGTTTATCTGCTTGACTCATTATACCTCAACACCTTTTAGAGTTCTTTGAAAAGAACATGGTAAGGGTCTGCTTCTCCTTCTTGTGTACGAGGCGGCAGATTTTCATTAGAAGAAAAAAATAAAATTGATATAAATGTCTTGAAAATGTTTAACTAGGCAGCACTTATGAGCATATACACGTAGTTTTCTCATCAAAAATTGAAAACATAGATTAAACAGAAGGTGACTCCAATAATGATTGGTATGATACTTAGGTAAATCAAACATGTCAATAAAATTGACCTTGACCTAACTCGACCAAAAGCTAATTAAGTAGGGCTTGTCTAAAATCATATAAGGAGATAACAAATCATTCCCTCATCCAATTTGGGACATCCTACCAACGCCCTCCCTCTCCCCACTGCTGGGGTACGCCCAATACTAGACATATGGAGTGTGTACAACATAACATGGGAATCCAGCATGGATACACCAAAACAAGAAATGGATGACCGTGGGCCTAACTCAACCTCAAAACTAGCTCATCTGGTGAGAATTGCTCAAAACCCATTTAAGAAGACAAAAATCTGTTCCCTCAACTAATGTGGGGCATTCTAATACTAATAGCAATATAAAATTAACTAAATCTTAAAAAAGAAGATTAAATCACTTTCTCGGACTTACTTATATCAAATGTGCTCAAAATAGGAAAATATTACCTCTATGTAAGAAGAAATTGCATTCCGACTAGATCCACGTGATTCCTTTAATTTGGCTATTGACTCCAGTATAAGATCATCTAATCTACAACCAATGAACAAACAACACAAGTTTGATACATTGTAAAGTGGGTGAGTATTTTTGAGAAGGGAAAAAAGAGGCAATTGTAGAACTAAATTACTCGAATTCCAAACTTGTTATTACAATTTTGAATTCAGACCAAAAGATATAAATCAATCATTTTCAAAAAGCTATATTGCATAGTTGGTAACAACATCTATCAAGGACTACAAGTATCAAGAATAAGAAAATATCAAGTTGGCCACTAAACCTTTTCTATAACAGAGCCAACTGAGTTCCAGAACTAAATGGTTTACATCAAGTTCCTTAACTAAAGGAGGGTATTAGATAAGTTAAGTTACCAAGTTCAAAAAAAAAAAATTATATTAGATAACTTACAATTATCCTTTTAATGAAAAATATTACTCTATGTTTCACTTTGTTTTTCCTAGTTGACACAGGACAGAGTTTAAGATATCAAGAAGACTTTTGAATTCTGTGGTCTTAATAAAGATATGTAAGTACCAAAAATTCCTTTTGAATCTTGTGGTCTTAAATATGTCATGTAGGATATGGGGGTAAGGAGTTACTAAATATAGCAAGTGGCTTCCTTTTTAAAGAGAGTAAGAAGGAAAGTAAGACAAACAAATTGAAATGGAGGGAGTATTAATCATTAAATGCATGCAAAGTTGTATCTCAAAATATGCGTTGATTGTTTATTTATTTTCACCATCTCAAAAAAGAATTGTTAGATATCTTATGGAGTACACTATTTTCTTAAAAAGTGATTTCAGATTCATATAAGTCAATAAATAAAGTAGTATTTTTCTCCAAACACTCTCCCAGCACAACATTCAAGACTAGTTGTAAGGAATCCAAGATTTGAATAAGGAAGATCTAAGTGATCAGTAGCTTAATAACCTTGAAAATGGTTTTTTTGAGCCAACATCCTTCAGTACATCACCAGTCCCAGTCGATGCAAGAGGTTTAACATCAAGAATTTCTATATCATTCTCACCCACATAGCCAACCAAGGTGTTGTCATCGTGCTTCGGTGTAGGCTGAACACTTTTAGACACAATCTTCCCTCGATGCCGAGATCCCCAACCACTTGCCATGACATGTAGATTCCTCCATTTATCCTGTCCAGGTAAAACTAAGCCCATCAAGGCAACTTTTACTAACCAAAGCAAGCCAGAACGATGGGAAAAAGAAAAGGCAAAACCAGACAGAAGAGACATTGTAGAAATGCATCAATACTGTTACTATGCGAATACATGACATACTCCAGCTGGCTAAACAAGCTTCCAACAGAATGAGAAGACAAGATTTGATAATGTTGTTATGTCTAGTACCTTCAAGTCCACATTTGAGCGAGAGCGCAACACAGCAGCAAACTCTGGATCTTTAAGAATGGTGCTCCATTTGCCAACCCCATACTTCGCTACACCAGCTTTAAGGGCAGCTTCTTCTTCTGATGTCCACTTCTGCTTTGGTGCACCCATTAATAGGTTGACAACTTTCTAGCACTGAATACAGAAGTTGAGCTCTCCTATCTACAGAAGCGTCTTCACTATTCAGAAAATAAAAGGCAAAGTTGTGAAAAAAGAAAGTAACAATGCCATTGCATAAAGTATTCAAAGAACCTTTAAAGGCCAAAACTATCTCAAGGAAACCATACTTTAAAACTACAAAATAGGATGTATTTGTTCTACCTTACTTTTTCTTCTAAAATAGCTATCATACAAAAAGACAACCCAGAAAGCGTGAAATCGCACCAACACAGTTGTGTTTTTATCATCAGTCCAAACACACAATCAAATACCAACAAAAAGAGTAGGTGAAATAAGCAATTGAGTACACGCACAAAGTGGAAAGTCATCTTTTCGAGTAAGAGAACTTCTTTTACAGTCAAAACTTTTTCCCCAAGGAAGATTAAACTTTAATGAAAATTTTGTAAAAGCTTAAATTGGTAAACCTCAAATTAAATTTTTTGGCACTGTTCCAGGCTGGAAGGATAGCACTTTTACGCAATACTGACAACTACTGAAAACTGAGTCAGGCACACCAACACCATCAGTGATATGCTCAAAGGTGTACAGAAAAAAGAAAAGTGAAAAAAAGTCCAATCAGTAGTCGCCACCTCCTTTTTGATCCTCAAAAGAATATTCAACAATATGACTGATCAAAAGAAGAATATTTGAAACTGACATAACAAAACTTGGCTGACAACTATTTAAGTCTTAAGATAACACTCAATTGACAAGGTATGAGAAGCTGTAATACGGCCACCAGCATGTACACTATCTATATTGCAAGTGGTGGAAGGACCACCCGGAATTGTCAGAATAAAGGTTGGGAAAACAAATTGTACCATGACAGTGGCATACGCTCATGTAGCCAGGATTTTAAATACTATTTTATGCATAGTGAAGCACATTTACAGTTGAAAAAAAATAGAAGCAGCACATTTGCAGCACACAGTCAAACAAACAAGTTGAATGAAGAAACACAATTTATAAAATTTGACTAGAATAAATTTTAGTGTCCCACCTCAGATTGGAAAGCTAAACACATGTTTCCTTGTCCTACTGGCTGTTTACCAGTGGAACGTCAACTTTAAGGCACTTGCAATCATACTTTATGCTTTAGTATGGATAATTAGGACTCAATTTTATGACAGTCTTAAATAGATTCGTAGCATAACAAAGGCATCGTTAGCTAGTTTAGAAGCAGCAAATTGAAGTAGAGTATTCAGAGCACAGTCCCTTAAAACTTTATTGATCTCTCATTTAGAACTTGAGAACAATTCTGAATTCCATTCAACATGCTTCGAATACTAAAAGAATGTGAGATAACAAGGTTTATGGAACAATGTCTGGAAAAACATAGCACCAACTAAAGTAAAATGTTTCACATGGTTGCTAGAGGTTTTGAAGAAAAATAGGAGGATTATAGTATCCAGATGTCAACTTTGTGGGGAAACAGATCATATAGTCATCTTTTCTTGCACCGTATATTCACTGCACAACTATGGAATTTATTTTTTACTCTCACAGACACAAAATGGACCGTGCCCGAGCACAATGCAGATCTGCTGAGTTGCTGGATTAGAAGAGATGGTGGAATATCATTCCACATTGCATCTGGTGGACTATGTGGAGAGAGAAATAGCAGATTTTTTTGAAGATAGGTACAATTCCATTGGAATTGTATTGTATCTCTTTTTTTTTTTTTTTTTTTTTTTTTT